GTCCCGCCCTCACTGCTCTGCCGTGCCCCGCCCCAGCTGGATCATGCCAAGCTGAGCTCCGACCAGAACGACAAGGCAGCCAGCGCCGCCCGGGAGGAGCTGAAGGAAGCCCGCATGCGCGTCGAGTCCCTCAGCTACCAGCTCTCCGGCCTCCAGAAGCAGGTGAGCCCTCGGCCGTGTGCCTGCTCCGAGCCCCCACTGGGGCTGCGGATCCATGCTTCTCTCAGGGCCTGGTTTCTGCACCCAGCCCGCCGCACCAAGGGGCCTTCCAGCCCACCGCCGGCCCCTGGAGGCTGGGGAGAGGCCCGAAGCTGGATGGCCTTCTCCCAGAGATAATGCGCAGCCTGCGCTGACCTGGCCGTGTGGCCCCGCCCCAGGCGAGCGCAGCCGAGGACCGGATCCGAGAGCTGGAGGAGACCATGGCGGGGGAGCGGGACAAGTTCCGGAAGATGCTGGATGCCAAGGAGCGGGAGATGACGGAGATGCGGGACGTGATGCAGCAGCAGCTGGCCGAATACCAGGAGCTGCTAGATGTGAAGCTGGCCCTGGACATGGAGATCAACGCCTACCGCAAGCTCCTGGAGGGCGAGGAGGAGAGGTGGGCGCCGGGAGGTGGGGGCGGAGCACGGCCTGCCCTGGGACAGCCAGTCACTCCCCGCACCCCCTCCCCGTAGGCTGCAGCTATCCCCCAGCCCGTCGCGGATCACCATCTCGCGGGCCACCTCGAGCAGCAGCAGCAGCAGCGTATCCACAGCCGGGCGCCAGGGCCGCAGCAAGCGGAAGCGGCTGGAGGTGGAAGAGCCGCTGGGCACCGGCTCGAGTGGCCTTGGATCCGGCAGCAGTAGCAGCGGCAGCTTCCACCTGGCCCAGCAGGCCTCGGCCTCAGGCAGCATCAGCATCGAGGAGATCGACCTGGAGGGCAAGTTCGTGCAGCTGAAGAACAGCTCCGACAAGGTGAGGACCCCACCCCTCGGGGGAGGCCCGCCGGGGCTCTTCCCGCAGCTGTGCCAACGGCCGCCCCCTTTGCCAGGATCAGTCCCTGGGCAACTGGAGGATCAAGAGGCAGATCCTGGAAGGGGAGGAGATTGCCTACAAGTTCACACCCAAGTACGTGCTGCGGGCCGGCCAGACGGTCACGGTAGGTGCTGCTGCGGAGCGGCCAGAGGGAGGCGTGGGTGGGATGTGCGGCGCGTCTGGGTCGGAGGTGGGGGCAGGGAATGATGGGGGGCACCGGCTCTGAGGACAGCCACCTGCTCTCCCCGATCACCTGTGTGCCTATGTTCCTTCGACGGGTCCTCCCTCATCCTCCCTTGGGGAGGATGTGCCAGGGGTCCATGGTGGAGGTGGGGCTGAATCTAGGCTGTCTGGGCTGGTGGCAGTTCTTGGCGAGAAAGTTACCAGCAGGGGCTCCAGGGCTTCTGACCCCAACTTGGCCCATTGGCTAGGATGGGAGCCTTTGGCCGCTGTGGACCTCCGTCTCTTTTTCCATACCCTGGAGATCATCACTCCTGACCCAGACCCAGTAGAGCTAGAAGGATTAAATGCCCAGCGGGCAGGCTGATGATACATGCCACTGGGATGGGAGCTGATGTTAACGGGGGCCTCCTGTGTTCCCAGGTGTGGGCAGCCGGTGCAGGGGTGGCTCACAGCCCCCCCTCGACGCTTGTGTGGAAGAGCCAGAGCAGCTGGGGCACGGGCGAGAGCTTCCGGACCGTCCTGGTCAACGCTGATGGGGAGGTGGGTGCCTGCCTCCACCGCAGCCCTGGGGCTTGTGTGGGGCAGAGCCACTGAGGGCCGCCTGGGCCCCCAGCCACCCTGACCACCGCTGTGGGCTGGGCCCCGGTGCCTGGGTGGGTGTCTGTAGCTCTTGTCTCGCACAGGAAGTGGCCATGAGGACCGTGAAGCAGTCGTCAGTGGTGCGGGAGGCCGAGAACGGGGAAGAGGGCGAGGAGGAGGCCGCCGAGTTTGGAGAGGAGGATCTTTTCCACCAACAGGTTGGGCTCCCGGGAGGCACACGTAGACATGCCCTCGAACATACACACACATGCACACGCCCTGCCTTCCTGGGTCTGAAAGAATTGTCGTGTGTCACGTAGCTCAGAACAGAGGTGAGGGAGACATGGAAGGTTCCGGAACAAGGACTGTTGAGGCAGGAGCTGCTAGCCCTGTCATCTTGTTGAGAGCCAAGCTTCCTGTGATGGCTCAGGCCCCGGCCCGGTCCAGCTCCTCCCTGGTGGGCGTGGGGGGCCACCAGCTACCTGCCTGGCCAGGTGGGTGGGCGCCCACCTCCCAGGCTCACCTCACTACTGCCATCCTTCCTTCCAGGGGGACCCGAGGACCACCTCTCGAGGCTGCCGCGTGATGTGACTGAACACGCCTCGTCACACGTCATTCTTTACCCAGAGCCACTGAAAACTATTTTTATATCGTTGGCTTCTTTAGTCCTTGATACATTTCTAGAGAATTTTTAAGCAAACTGCCAGAGCGTGGGGGGTGGATCTCCTGTACCCTTTGTCACCACTGTCCAGACTGTCTCGGTGCCCCGTCACCTTTCCATAGAATTCGAAGCCCAGGAACCTAGTGCTCACGGCCTGTGGGTTTGGAGGCTGGAGGTTGGGTAGGGGGTCCGGGGGCCTGTCACTGCCTTGGTCTCCGCCACAGCCTGGGGCCAGGACTGGAGAGGAGGCCTTGGGGTGGACAGAGAGCAAAACGGTGTAGGAATCCAATAGTTGTTTGTTTCATTAAGCTTTTGAGAAACCAAATTCAGAATCCAGGTTCTGACCTGGTGGGTGAAGAGGCACCCCCGTCGATGGTGGCTCAGCCGACCAAGGACAGGGACGAGGAGGGGAGCGGTTGGGAATCGCAGGCTTTGACTGTCTGGCTAGGGCTCCGATGGGGTGGGCCTCCCCGCTCCTGTCCTGGCTGCTGGAGCCGCACGTCCCACCGCAGGAACTCTGCAGTTGAGTTCCTCCCCCTGGGGGGCAGCAGCGGGGAGCGGAAACGGGCTCGGGGACAGCTCCATTCTAAGACTTGTCCCCAGGTAGGCATCAAGGGGACATGTGACCACCCCGGAAGCAAATCTTGGACTTCAGGATAATGTCCAAGTGTAGCCACCATATCCCGCCCTCCCGCCGGGAGGAGGGTGACTGCGGGATGAGCCAGCGGCCTCCAGTTCTCCAACTCTGCCCTGTGTTCCTACGCGGATACTGTATCCTCGCTTCCTCTCTGACTTTATGCTGAAATGATGGTTCTTGGACAGACCTGGTGCCAGTGCCCCTCCCCAGGGGCTCCGTGTCACGGTCTAGCTCCTGGCCGCCGAGACCCTTCCTTGCATCAGCTAACCTTTATACCCCTGCCACGTAGATACACAGAAGTTATTTTTTTAATGGATATTTATTTTTTTACATCGGTCAGTACACAGATTGCCGGGATCCCACCTCAGGGGCTCGCTCGTGCCGGGGTCACCAGGACAGTCCCTTGAGGGGGTGGCGTTGGGGTGCCTGCGTCAGTGGGCTCTGAGCCCCCAGATGGCAAACTTCCTTCAGAAGGTGCAGCTCAAGTCTTAAAGACGCAACGCTGAGCCAAGCAGGCGGCCTGAGTGCCAGCCCCGGGGCTCACCCTAGGCTCGGAGCAGCACGCTGGCCTCCGAGTGTCCCGCTTTCCCTGGGAGGGCACGAGGCCTGAGCCAGGCAGGGAAGTGTCAGTGGCCACAAAACCAGCACTGCTGTGGGTCCAGAATCTTCCTGCAGCCCCGTGCTCTAAGTCTGGGCATCCTTCCTTGGCCACCAAGTTCCTGGACTGTGGGCTGTGTTTCCCCTGTGGAGGGAGACAACTCCTCGGGGAAGGTGCAGACACTTGTTTCTGGTGGGCCCCTGGAGAGCTTCCCTGCACTAGCGACACGCCACCCCGTCCCCATGTGTGACCTTCCCCATGAGTGCTTCCAAGCCCCCGAGGCCACAGGCTGGCGCCCTTCGCTGCGCTGCGTAGCAGGAACTGAGTGAACAGTAAGGATCTGGAGCGTGTGATGAGGTGCTGAGAGGGTGGGTCTAGGTGGCCCTCAGGCACGTGGAAGCTCTGCCCTAGTCTCAGCCACGTCCTCTAGGTATTTTGGGAATCTCGGGATCAAAGCTGTGTCCTGGAAGTTTGGGTCTGTGAGTTGCTGATGCAATTTTGCAGGCTTGGCTTGTGGACAGGAAGGAAGAGGGCACCCCCCCACCCCCACCCCAGCAGGCCCAGAGCTGCCCGGGTGTCTGCAGAGCCCACAGGCAGGGGGGTTGTTCCCAGAAGCTGATTTCTTCCTTGCCTCAAGGCCAGTTCTAGGTCTCACCCCTTGCAGTTAACTGCCTGGCTAAGGTGGAGACTCCAAGTGGACCAGGCAGGGGCTGGGATGCCCTTGGCTGGTGTGGGGAGGGGGTTCCAGTTGTGGCTGGAGGTTGGTATGAGTCATTGGTAACCAAGTATTTGGGAAAACAGCAGAGTCCAATATTAAAATGTCAGCCTTGGCCTGGGGAACAATTTGCATTTGTTAACAAGCAAGCTTAACTCTAATCCACTTAAAATAATGCAGACGTGAGTTTTTTTCTAAGCCCCCATCTTGTGACTGTAACACCCTCCTAGGGAAAACGCTCGGCCCAGGCCTCGGGATGGGGCCAGTGAGGCTGCCCTTGGGAGACACCCACACCTTTCCCTGGGACCTGGGCGCTCAGCTGTGCACAACAGCAAGGTTCGGACTTGGGCTGTTTTCACCCACACCCAGCAGTTCTATTTATATCAGCATAGCCGAGCTGGGACTGACATTCCTCAAGGACACTAAAGCTACTGGAAAGGTCTTAATTCCACGCCGGAAGGGGGTCACCAGCACAACATGCTAGTCGACTCGGCTTCAAGAAGCCGGCTGTCTAGACTCAGTTCACAGATCTGTTGGTGACTTTTAAGGTGCATGCCAAATGTGTGGTCTTTTACTTTCCCTGGTGATTTGTAATATACATTTTATGACTGGAAACTTTTTGTACAACACCCCAATAAACATTTTGGTTTTAAATTCTGAGTCGGTTCCCACGCCCTGGTGATGCGCTGTGAAGACCCCACCTCTAAGGCCTTGTTTTCCGCATTCTGTGCTGTCGGTCGTGTGACACTCCCCGCTCCCCCCCCCCCCGACTGCAATGCGCAGTGTGGATTTGCCCGCTGCCCAATACGCACGCGCGGCGGGAGCCCCCTGGGGGCGAGCCTCGTCAGGCCCCTTCCTGAGTCCAGGCGAGGGGGGGCGGCTCCTCTCTGCGAGTGCGCGGCGGGCCCCGCACCGCCTTATGGGAATTGTGGTCCCGCCTTCGCTTCGCCCTTCCCCTGCCCGCCCGGACTCCATTTCCCGTGGGGCCATTGGGCGGCCGACTTCCGGCGCGGGTGCGGGTGGGCGCACGCGGCCGCGCTCCGGTTGACTGTGGAGCCATGGAGGGCGGCTTCGGCTCGGATTTCGGGGGCTCCGGCGGTGGGAAGCTGGACCCAGGGCTTATCATGGAGCAGGTGAAAGTGCAGATCGCCGTGGCCAACGCACAGGAGCTGCTGCAGGTCCGGGGCCGGGCCGCGGGAGGGGGGCGAGGGGCCGAGGGTGCCGGGGTCCGCCAGGGCTAGGCGTCGCAACTGAGGGCTCGCGTGTCCCCACAGAGGATGACGGACAAGTGCTTCCGGAAGTGCATTGGGAAGCCGGGGGGCTCCCTGGACAATTCCGAGCAGGT